GCTGCTCATGCCACCACCAGCCAGTGCCTGCATACTCACTCTTCTCCTTCTGGAAAAGAAAATTCCAAGTAACCCACCAGGTACAAGACAGCCCTTCCAAGAGGACCTTTGTTACCCACTTCAGCCTCGCTACAAACCCAGGTGAGCCACCTAAGGTGCTTCCACAGGTGCTGCTGGTCACCAGCAGCACTGCAGCTAGGATGGCAAGCTGGTTCACCTGTGCTTGTGCTTGCTGCAGCCAGCCCTGATCCATAAACAGTGTCTGTGAACAGAAACGGAAACCAGACCAGCCTGGGGGTGTGGAAACAGCAGCTGTGGTAACGCAGTGGCTCTCAAGCCATGGAGCAGGGCTGTAACAGCCCCAGGAAGCTGAGGAGAAGGCAGCTGCCTGGCAGCAGGGAGGTTTAGTTTATGAAAAATCCAATTTGTTTCACATAGGGAAAAGCCATGTGCAATGGCTCACGGTGCAGAGGGCACAGAGAGTCTGGCCAGTTCTTTCTACAGAAGATGTAGAAGTGGTACACTTGTTCGTTTTGTACGTCTTTATGAAAAAGCTGTAAAGGTATCCAAGCACTTCTCTTACCTCAGGGTGTTCCTTTTGCCCAGGCTCCCAGCAGAGCAGATTCAAGTATCCTCGATTTAGCACGGACCCGAGACTTGGCACAGTTGTGCTACTGCAGACAGCCCCCAGACAGACCCCAGCCAGGGTGCAGGAGGGTCTGAGCCTGCAGCGTGCTAGCAGAGAGCTGTTCCTCCAGGCTGTCCCAGAAGGCTTTGTGCAACGTCTCCTTCACTGTTTTCCAGGCTAACAAAGGAGAAAGGGGAGCGGTTTTCTATTAACATCAGACAAACACAGCCTCTCCGTTCAACGGGACCATTCCCCTCGGCTTTCGGTGCAGCTCAAATCCGTGGGCATTTTCTTCCCCGAGTCTTTACTCCTACCCAGCAGCAATGCACCTCACCTTTCTCTATCTCATGGAAATCTCCACCTAAATTCTCTGAAGTAGAGCTCCTCCCTTTCAACCCTGTTCATCAAATGCAGCACTTCACCTGTCTTAACCGAGGGGTAAAAAGAGCATAGCGCTTTTCAAGGAAACCCCCCAAGTGCTCAGAGAAAATCAACAGAACGTTTTTCTGGCGAGTGCTTGTTTTTGTGATGAGAGACTGCCAGTCACTTCAACGCGTCTTCAGCTAACATGCAGGAACCTCAGAGGAGATCTTCACTGAAAAGTCTGCTTTGTGCATGTCAAAGATGTCTTACGCAGCTGTAGCCTCTGGACCCATTCAATGTTAGTGAGTCAGATCTGACAGTCATCATATTTAAGAACTTTTTAGTAAATCACAAGCTCCATTTATTTTTTTGTTTGTTTTTTTTTTAATTTCAGGAGCTATCTTATTGTCTTGTTAATTCTGCAGTCAGATCCAGAAAAGTCTGCTTTGTGCATGTCAAAGATGTCTTACGCAGCTGTAGCCTCTGGACCCATTCAATGTTAGTGAGTCAGATCTGACAGTCATCATATTTAAGAACTTTTTAGTAAATCACAAGCTCCATTTATTTTTTTGTTTGTTTTTTTTTTAATTTCAGGAGCTATCTTATTGTCTTGTTAATTCTGCAGTCAGATCCAGACCCACCTCCTTCCCCCATTCTCCCACGTTTTCCGCAATGTGACAGAAAGAAGCCACGCCTGAATACCTCCGCACCTTCTGGGGGGAAGCTGGCCGCTGGCGGTCCGAAGTCCCTGCTGAGCGCAGTTCTGTCGGGAAACGCCATCCGTTCTCCACTGTGGCTCCTTCGTGGGAAGAGCCCGGGG